GTCCACTTGGTAATGAAAAACTGTCATCAGGTTAAAAAAACATGTTGGCCCAAATGTTGTGTCCTTTTACTTCGTGCCATGGATCGGATCGATGCTAGTGATCAACCACAAAGCGCACAACAACTTGTTCTCCCTCATGTTGAAGTTTTCTCCTATATCTTTCTTCTTTGGATTGGCCGCAAATTCATCCGATTCAAGGTCATCGTCGCAATCCTCCTACTGCTCCTGCTGGCCGATGTACGAATCCGGCTACTGGGTGTCCGTGTCTGGCTGCGTGCTAGACTGTGTACTTACCCGACTGCGTGCCCGACTGAGTGTACGTGCCCGGCTGAGTGGACTCTGAGTCATCCACCTACCCGCCCTCGTAGCAGCCTCCGCCTCCGTTATGGATCATCTCAAACATCTCTCTGTTTGCGTCGTCATACGCCGGCTTGCCCGGTTGAGACATACTGGCAAACAGAGAGCGGGCGCTGAGCTGCTCCACGCTTGTCGTCCGCATTCAGGTAAGCTTCAGCAATGTAGATGCGGAGAAAAGGAGCCGCGTCGCATTGACATCGAGGCAATAAGGCATGTGCCCGGCGACAGATGTCGGGGGCTACCTGCCGAACTGTTGGGTGGCGTAGAAGTATGGAGGCATCTATTGATCCGTCTAGGACGACATCTTTACGGACGAAGACAGTGGCGGTGCCCCGCGTCCCAGGCCCCGCCCTGCACCACGCGCCCCCTTCATGTTCGCCGCCACGACGACCGCCCCCGCCGCCCTTCTTTTTGAGCGTAGCCACCTCCTTTGCCTCCTGTTTGAGGCGGCGTTCTTACCATGTCGCCGAGTTGATCTTTCACGGGGATGAAAGTGGGGCTGCATAGTTGAGGGTTGGTCGTGAGAGAAACCATAAGGGTGGTGAGGGAGAGAGGTGGAGGGTGTGGTGTGAAAGTTCGGGACTGCTTTAAAGTTTGTGTGACCTAGGAAACGCATACAGTGGAAGCAACCAAATGTCTGTTGGGCCTGGTGAGACTACCAAACGAGGTCCCTAAAAAAAAAAGGGCTACCAAACGAGTTTCTGTACCCTGGAAATAGAAATATTGTTGTGTCACTCACCGAAGAAATATTGGTCTGTCGCTCACCAGTCAGGAAAAGAACAGAGGTCACAGCATCTTGGCCAGAGTTCGCAAGCCCGTCATCACTCATCAGCAACCACGCCATCGTCCTTGCCTGTTCCTTCTATCCATCCGTTCCGCTCTCCCTTCTCCATCCCATGTAACCAAATCAGCTCAGCTCAGCGACAACAGCGGCAGATGATGAGAGCTCCTCCTCGGCTACTGTCGCCTCCTTCCTCCGCCACGGCTCCTCACCTCCTCCTCTACGCTTCCTCCGCGGCCTGCCGCCTCCCTCCCTCCGCGGCCGCCGTCGCCCGCTCCGTCTCCGTCTCCACCACCACCGTCGTCGACGCCCCGGCCCCCGCCGCCGAGCCGGGCTCCTCCGACTCGGCCTCCGCCACGCCGCGACGCCGCCTCATCCTCCTCCGCCACGGGGACAGCGCGGTTGGGGAACGCTTCACCAGAGGTATATATATACATATCGTACGTGGCAGGCAGAATCGTTCAAAGAGTGTAGGTGCAGCTTCTTTGACGACTTTTCCGTTCAAAGAGTTGCCTGGGCGCTTGAGCTCCCAATACTTTGGGGGTACTATCAATTAACTCTCACATTGGGTAACATCATTGGTGCTTTGGGAGTTTGGGTGTCGTAGAGGTTATGGAATGGAATTGTAACACTGGGACTATTACGATACACTAAACTTGTAGTCTGTTATACTTGAGTTAAAATGTCAGGTTAAAATTCATGATATTATGAATAAGGGGTTTCGTAAATTAGTTGGACGTCGAGCACCAAATGAGAAATCAGGGATCAAGAACATTAAACGGGGTCAGCGTGTTTTTATGCGACAGACTTCGGTCAGCATTTTAGTCTGGTTCTATGTGCCATTATACAATTTTAATCTGTAATTTAATTTAGTTCTTCTCTTTACTTTTCACATGATACTGTTGTACTCTTGTTTAGCTGCAGTGCTACAAGAAACCTAGATGCATTCCTTCTTTGTGGTCGCTGGCCTTTTGCTTCATTCTTGAAAACAACATCTCATATTGCCATCAATGACAGATCATGACAGGCCACTGAGCAAAGCTGGAAGAGCTGATGCAATAAGCGTTTCTGATAAATTCCATCAAATGGGATGGATACCTGAGCTTATCCTATGCAGGTACATCCTTATCTTGTGCAGAACAATGTGTACACAGAATAGGGTTTAACGACAGCAGTAGGCGTGTAATGTAGGAGCACTTCAAGGTCCAATTTGGTTGCCCTCGTATTTGTTACTAATTGTGTGGGTGGGTCAAGCAGTTTTAGAAAACTGAAACTGAGGAGGTCCCATTAGAATGCTGGACTTTCACATTAACCAGTTCTTTCCCATTGGGATAGGGAAATTTTTGGGTTCTAATTTCTAAATGGGGTCTGAAATCATGTATTCAAGCCACAAGTGTAAATGTTGTTTCTCCGTGATTCACTTAGATAAGCAGTGGATAATGACATATATTACATCAAAATGAACATATTACAAGGGGTTACTTTTCTATTCTTTAGTTTCATCTTTTTGTGCTATTTGACTTTGGAGAGACCGAGAGATACTTTCATTTGAAAATGCCAAATTGTAAGCTATGTCTTTGAAGGTGACGTAAAATCACCTACTTTGATTTACTCATATGTGCCTTAATGGAGCATGTCATGCCATTCATACCTTCCTAAACTGTTTGTGAACACAGTGATGCAACTCGTACAAAGGAAACTCTTCAGATCATGCAAGAGCATGTTCAAGGATTGTCTCAAGCACTTGTGCATTTCATCCCAAGTTTCTACTCGATTGCTGCAATGGATGGTCAAACTGCCGAGCACTTGCAAAAGGCAATTTGTGAATATTCAACTGATGAGATACTAACGGTGATGTGAGTCTGCTATTATTTATTCTTCATTATGCTATGTTCTCCGAAGTATGCTCAGACTACATAGTCACTTCCTTCTAAGCACCTGTGCATGATATCTCTGAGAGTTGCTAGGCCTGTTTTTGATGCTTTTGTAGAATAAAATTTCAGGTGCATGGGACATAATAAAGGATGGGAAGAAGCAGCCTCTATGTTTTCTGGTGATTCCGTGGTGCTCAAGACGTGTAATGCTGCATTGCTAGAAGCTGCTGGGAAATCATGGGTTGAGGTTAGTATTATTCTGATGCCTGTGCTTCTCTTTTTAACCCCTTGATAGTACTGCGATGTGCCTACCATCATCATGGTTGCCAACAATGCCAATCCAAAAACTGATTGTGCAAATGTATAAATTACTCCTAATCCTATATTTTTCCTATACAGTTGCTGATTTCTAGCTAATGTGGAATTTTAAATGATGCAAGCAGACTATTCACTGGTGATTTTCAGCTAGGCGGATCCTTTAATTCTGCAGTACTCCCTCTGTAAACTAATATAAGAGCATTTAGATCACCAAAGTAGTGATCTAAACGCTCTTATATTAGTTTACGGAGGGAGTACTTGTTTTTGTGAGTCATGTGAAAAGCACACATTAAAGGCAATTTAGAAAGCCAAGTATGACTAATGTTACTGTCTGTTTGAAGGATACCTGAATGAGACTACTCAGGAAAATATAAAAGCTTTTGGCAGTACAAAGAATTTCTGAAAATGCTTGTGTTTTTTTCTTTGAAAAGTATATTAGTTCATGTTCATGTTCAATGGGAAATCAAATCACCATGTGGCTAATTGAAATGGTCAAGTATTATCACCATATCTGAAGTATTTTAGAAACAATGACCAGTTTCATGCTGTATTGGTCATGATGTGGGTTCATTATACTCTTCTCCATCAAACAAAATGATGTATAGCTTCATAGTGCACCATTTTTCATGAAATAAAAATGCAGATAAATTGGCAGAAATTTGACCGATTTTCTATCGTCATGATATGCAGGCTTTTTCGCAGGCTGGCCTTGGGGGGTGGAAGCTTCATGGCATTGTAAAGCCATAAAGTGATTAAACATTGTAGCTAAAGCTAGATGCAATTTTCGTAGTATTTTTGTTCTCATTTTGCCTCGTGTAGCTATGATTGAATGTTGTTGAAGTTATTGATGTGCATAGATAGATGAGATCAATGCATTTCACCAAACCTGACAAGACTAAAAAAAAGACCACGTCGCTCTCGCCCAGGGCTTTTCTTTCTTTTTTTCCTGAGGAAACTTCCGTTCTATCCATGCCATGGTAGTACAAAGAACATAAAAAAACTAAAAAAATCAATGTCTGCAGACCACCTAGCGATGACTACAAGCATTTTAGAGAGCTGGAGGCGCGTCGCCGTCATCGTTCCTCCCTCGTTGAAGCCGGACCAAACTTGTTGTAATAAACAGTTGGGAAGTTGTCGTGCTAAGGACATCTCCAAACG